ATTCATCAATCCCAACTCTAAAGGACAGTGTGGCTGTGGGGAATCTTTCATGACAACAGGCGGCAGCGGAGCTACCAAGAAGGTATAAAGAATCGTGTGGCCAGCTTGTGATGAACCAACACTTTCACAGACTAATCATTCGTGTTGGCGCTGGCGTAAGTCATAGTAGTCTCTGCTAACTCGGGTCTTAAAGTTCGCATTCTTTTGTAAAGATATTCCAATTTTGTTTGGAAGAACACAATGTATATCGATAAAATTATGTGCTACTTGAAATTTTATGAACTTTTGTAATGTCAACATGTAGAAGCTGCTGAATTGTGGAAATTGCGTCGGCGGGATTATCAAATTTTTCCTGAACATTTTTTTATCATTCTTTACTTATACGTGAAATGGCTTAGGTTTGAATCTTATGAATGACGAGTTTGATATCAATTTAATCTCCTACTCTTTTGGTGTTAATCTACCGTTGAATAAAAAAAGGTCATGGATCTTTCTTTTGCTTTTTCCATATCGATTATAATTTTCTTCGGACTTTGAGGCATTTTGTTTTTCAGTGATATGAGCCATACTGTGTACTAGAAAAGTGAACAGACAACCTATGAGTCCAAAATTGTAACATATAAAATTATATTAATTACGAGCAGTCTGTCGTCCATATTCGTTGAATTTTTAATCTCCTAATAGAATATGCTGTCAAATTCTACTCTCCTTCCAATTTTCAAACAATCAATGGAATTATCAATATACAAGCTCGATCTGTGACGATGAGATGAAGATGATGATGTTGTCTACAAGCTCGATCCATGCCTGGTTGGAGTTTAGAGAGAGTGACCGTACAAATTGTACGGACGAAGGAAGAAAAACCGAGGGAAGAGAGAGAGTGTTTTTGGTCTAGATTTGGTCCCCAATCAAACAAAAAAAAAATCTAAGTTCCAATTAGGTCCCAAAATTTAAGAAAATACATAATTTGTCCACAACCAAAGCTTAAACCACACCATCCCACATACGTTTAAGGGTAAAACCGTCATTTCACATCGTTGAAACTAAACATTTCGGGATGGGCTGTGACATTAAAAATATTAAAATATAAATATACTATTGTGTGTGTGTGTGTGTGTGTGTGTGTGTGTATAAACATGGGTACATTCATCAATATTAACCAAAAAATTATTGTACCAAAACATAGGTACATTCTTCAAAATCCCAAAAAAAAGAAAAAGAAAAAGATATTAGGCTTAATAATATTAGTAAATTTCTTTGATTAAACTTGACATGAATACATTCTTAAATCAAAGAAAAAAGAATGTACCCATATAAATTTAAAAATAGATTAGAAAAAAATTGACTAGATTTTATATAAAAAAATGGTACATTTAACATATAACAAAATTGATATATTTAAGAATGAGTACATTTTAAGATTAAAAATTTGAAAAATTACATGAATGGGTACATATAATTAGCATGTGTACATTTAGCAAAATAAAAAATGAGTACAAATAAATAAAAAAATATATGGCCACAAAAAGAAATTAATATATGGGTACAAATTAAAATTGAAAAGAAAATTGGTATAAATTAAAAAAGGGTTGCAAATTAAAAATGGGTATAAACTAAAAATAAAAATATATGATAAAATTTAGCCATAAATATAAATATACTAATTATAACATAATACTAAATGAATATATTTAGAAATAAAAAATATTTTATTATTAAAATAATTAATGATGTTATTAATATCTAAGGATCTTGATCAAAAATTGAAAAGAATAAGGTTTTAATCAATGGAGTAGCAAAAAGATGGATGAGAACCTAATTTCTCCTTATATTAATTACCAGTTGTGTGTCGTCCACATTCATTTAGTTTTTAAATTTCCTTATAGATTATGTTTTGGAACTCTGCTATTTTGCTAATTCTCAAAACAATCAACAGTTGTTAGTCGTTCACGTTCGTGGACAATAACACAGATGTTGATCTCCTTATGGAATGCAACTTTTTTCCCATTTGTAAGAAGGTTAGGTAGGATATAGGATTCATGTAATGGGGACTCATGTGGCATATTGGATTGGGAAAAAAAAATGTAGCATATTTGCATTCCAATTTCAGAAATTAAATTTCCACATTCTCACGTGCGTAATTACTCACCACTTTCCCACACGTGCTAGAGGAAGACCTGCCGGCTTCCCTCTTCTCTAATCGCAGACTCTTCTTCGTCTTCTCCGCGGACCAAGCAGGTTTTGGCTGGTTCGTTTCTCCACTCGTTTTTCCAAAACCATCGAATCCTGCATTCAAGTTTCTCCCTTTCTCTGATGAATGGGATGATAGTGATCCCGATGACATTTGGGAATTTTGGATTTTGATTTGCTTCCACAGGTAATCCCACCCTAATTTTCTCTCTGTTTTACCCATTGATTATCACTGTATTGAGATCATTTTTATTTAATTGTATTTTTATAGATTTTTGGGTTCTATGTGTTTTTGCTCCATTTTTAGTAGATTGATGCTAAGCTGTTGAAATTTGTTTGAATAATTGAATTGGGTTTAATTTATTGAGTTTGTTTGCTTGGTTTTTCATTGAATTGATGTTGATCCGGTGCAAAATCTGCTAACTTTTGAAATTGTTGACTTGTTTGTAATGCCCAAAGTACTGGATTTTTCCAGTTTCTACTAGCTAATCTTTGCTTTCCATGACAATTACTGATTGATTAATGAAAGTCCAAAATATTGATCTGAATTTTTACTTGTATAGATGATGTCGTGACAAATCCCGAAAAGATGGCAGATTGGTGTTTGGCATGGATGGATCTTGCTTTTTCTTCTGTTTTGTGATAAACCCAGATGGAATGTTTAACAATTCTGGATGGTTAATTGTGTGGTGAGGATTTCTTTAGAGTTGGCTTCTTAATTTTCATGGGGTACTTTGAACTTTGAGAACCAAGAGCTTTCCTCGGTTTTCGTTAATTTATTGGGTATATGGAGCACCTTCCCGTTGAAGTCATAGGTAACATTCTATCCCGGCTTAAAGCTGCCCGAGATGTTGTGATTGCATCTGCAACGTGCAAGAAATGGAGAGAGGCTTGGCGGAATCACCTCCACACTCTTTCTTTCAATTCCAATGATTGGTCCGTCTATCATGATCTGACAACAAGTAGATTGGAAATTCTTATAACTCAAACAATATTCCAAACCACAGCATTGCAGTGTTTGTCAATTTTTATGGATGATGTTGATGAATTTTCAGCCGCCCCAGTGATTGCTTGGCTCATGTATACCCGGGACACCTTGCGGCAACTACATTATAATGTGAGGACTACTCCGAATGTGAATATCATTGAGAAATGCAGTCGACAGAAGCTTGAAGTCTTGGCATTGGCTCATAATTCTGTAACAGGTGTTGAACCCAGTTATCAGAAATTTCCATGCTTGAAGTCACTTTCGCTAAGTTATGTCAGTATCTCAGCTTTGGATTTGAGCCTTTTGCTTACCGCATGTCCAAAACTTCAGATTTTGGCTCTTATTAATCCTGATATTGCCATGTCAGATGCACAGGCAACTATGGAACTTAATAGTCCTTCACTGAAAAATATCTACGTGGAAGCTGTCAGTTTGGATAAGTTCGTACTAGAGGCTGATAGCATTGAGAATCTGCACCTGAAAGATTGTACCCTTGAGCTTTTTGAGCTTATTGGTAAGGGGTCACTGAGTGTTTTGAAGATCGATGATGTTAGTGTCCTCCATCTCGATATTGGGGATAACACAGAGAATCTTCAGATTGTGGATGTTAGCAGCTTCACGATCATGTGGCCAAAGTTCTATAACATGATCTCAAAATCATCAAATTTAAAGAGGCTTCGGCTCTGGGGTGTTGTATTTGATGACGAGGATGAGGTGGTGGATTTGGAGACTGTTTCTACTTGCTTCCCTCAGTTAACCCACCTATCATTAAGTTATGATTTAAGAGATGTTTGTGGCTTGCAGGGGTCATCTTCATTGGAGAACGTGGTTGTGTTAGAACTTGGATGGACTATAATCAGTGAGCTCTTCTCCGACTGGGTAGCAGGACTTCTAGAAAGATGCCCTAATTTGAAGAAGTTGGTCATTTATGGGGTGGTCTCAGAAGCCAAATCCCATGAAGAGTGCCAAGTTTTAGCAAGCTTCACCTCATCCATTGTCCGGCTGATGAGAAAATATCTGCATGTAGAGGTTCAGTTTGAATACGAATAAAAGTCCTGCTGACTGCATTGGTGTCTATTCAAATATTGGTTGCACATGATTGTACAATAAGGTACATGGCAGAACTTCACAAGAACACAAGGATTCTATCACCCTCATATAAATCTGAAAATGGAAGCCCCTTAATTTCATACAAGATTATGCTTGCAGCGTGGTGAGAAAATGTAAATTTACAGATTGATTTTGAAATCAATTTGTCTGTTTATCTCAGGCTTGTGTTTGTTTCATAATATTCAAATGGAAATTTCATATATTGAAGATTATTTTGGGTTGAAGCCGTTTATGGTACTCTCTATATGGCTACATTCCTGAATATGGTGCGTAGGTTTGGTATGATCTTGTCGCCCCCTTGCTTGAACAGGTGAGCTCCTTTACTTCCATAATTCAATGTCGGGTTTAGTTTTAATCACTAGGTGATTGAGTACGAAAAGTATACTTCATCACCTGTTTAGTCGAGATTAGAATAGAGATCCTCATATTGTGGATTGAATTTGTACTTTATATTGCTTGTTTGAAGTATGATTTCTTGAATTACATTCTCTTTTTAGTTAGAGGTCGCACTTGGTGCGATGGCAAGTGCCTTCGCCCATGAGCGGTAGGTCTCGGGTTCGAGACTTGGGAGCAGCCTCTCCATAAATGGGGGTAAGGCTAGCCGACATTCACCTCTCCCAGACCCTGCGTAAAGCGGGAGCCTTGTGCACTGGGTACGACCTTTACATTCTCTTTTTAGTTATCTCATTGTATGACTATGTAAAAAAAGGGGTCATTTTTTGGACCGAAAATCTGAAATCCGTGGCCAGTTGCTTGGATTTGTGAGGACATGAACATTCCTGCACTTTGTGGCATTGAAACCACTCGGCAATGTTTCGCTTAAACTCAAAGGAACCTTCAGGTTGCAGTTGATGTTGCTAGGACCATAATCTGGTGTCTTGATCTTTCCGAACCTGGCTCTTACCCGAAGAGAAATCTTCACATCAATACTGTAAACACCAGCAGCAGTCTCCGAGTTAAACTGAGAGAGGTCACGTTCTCCAAATACCGCCAACTGCTGACCTTCAACGAGTACATGATTTAAAATGATCGTGTTCTTATGCCCTTGGTAAAATGGCGCCCTAGGCAGTGTCACATTAGCAAACCTCTTTTTTCTATAGTTGGCAAAGACTTGGATGCGGCGGTAATATATGCCAACCTTTTGTTGGGGTTTCGGATGGTGATGTTGAGCGCGAGATTGTAGTCGAGAGTATTGTCGGTGTCGGTGAAATTGAATCGCGTTAGAGAGGCATTGGAGACGGTGAATTGAGGCTCTTTGGGAAGGAAGATCAACCAGAATATGAACATGGTTAGGACGAGGCAGAGTAAGGCGTTGCAGGGGAAGTAGAGGCAGCGGGTGCCGCCCCTTGGAGTCATTAGACGAGAGAAAACAAGAAAAATGGTACCAATGGAGTTGCAGATGGAGTATTGTCTTGTATATAAGACGAAAGGGAGGATTTCGGCTTTGTACTTACGAAAAAGCTTAATCGAGTGCTGACAGCCATTGACAGAAGGTATGTATATCTAGCAATTGACTTTGTTGGAAATGTCAAGAGGAACATCCAAAGAGTCCTTCTGGTCTGGGGGAACTTCCGAAGTTGTTCAATCCGGGTCTCGCCTGATCACCAAAAGAATCGAAATACCTTCTGTTTTGTTGATCTAATTAGCTAAACAAATTTATGCAGAAGCACTTGGAGGAAAAGGACTTTCGATACTTGCTTGAAGTAGTTCCTTGTAGTTCCCAACCCCTTTAACTTCTCTGCTTGTTTTTATTTTCTGTGTTTTCTTCACCCATTAACTTATGGTGGACGGACGCTCTAGTCGCAGTTGAATATGGCGGATGAGACGAGGGGGAAGGTATGGGAGACTGCAATGTGAGGGTTAGTTGTGACGACTTTTGGTCCCTGAGAATAGCATAACATTTCTAAACTGTAGTTTTATGGGCAGTTTTGACGCACCAAGTCGAGTAGTTTTTCGGTGTGCAGTAACACCACATTGGCAATGTAAGATGCTCGTCCCTTGAAGTTTGAACATGAATTATTAATTAGTTAAATTTTACGCGTGATGCATTGTAAACAAGCCATATCTCTACAAATGATCATCGCTCCCAGCACTAAAAACTCCTAGTGTCGTTGTTGTGCACATTTTCGGCATTGGATTCAATCGAAACGTATGAAATTTTTTGACGATGTGCTGAGCATTGTTGGTAAAAAAAAAAAAAAAAAAAGCTTGAAGTTGTATACAGCAGTATATCGATGTTGTATACAGCAATATCCGAGTTAAAGTTGGAAATGTCGTTTTGCCCAAACACCACCTCCCCATGCGCTTCAAGAAGTACTTGTTTTTAGCCGGTTCAATTTGGGGTCGGGCTGATCACATCCATGATGGTGGTATGTGTTGGTTCTAACTTGGGTCCTAACTCATCACGCCCTATGTAGGAACTCATAGGGTAAGTATGTTACTCTACGCCCTATTAGTAGACATGTAAACTGGTCAGTTTTATTGGGTTTAAGTTGGTTTCAATCTGACTCGAGTTAATAGTTTCATTGCTGTTTGAAATGTTACCCTTGCATGATCCTGAAAATAGTGGCTTATAGATCGATCTAGGTAAACGTACAAGCAAAGTAATTGTGTGGTCAAGCAAAGTAATTGTGTGGTCAGATGATGGAAAGAAAAATAAATTTGTAGACAATTTTGTAAATTAAATGACATAAAAGTTGATGATTGGATTATTACTTAAGCGTTGATAAATGTGCTTATTTTCTATTGGTGACACATCATTTGGTTTACAAAATTTGTCTACAAATTTAGTCTTCCTAGAATTTCTCTCTATATAATAGATGTGTGTATGTATTCATCAGAAAAAAAGTATTTAATTGAGATGTGTTGACCCTAAAAACTATCAAGCCTACGTAGCGTGTAGGCCGAGTAATCAATAAGCTAACTATGTCATTCGGTTGTGTGCGGAACTTGCCAACTCGTCGGCCGAATTTGGCCGGAGAGTAAAATATGTCGATGCGGCGTTGGACGCACTGCTGACTTCTTGATCTTGCAACTACGGCCAAGGAAGGAACATATCTCAGCCTTCGGGTTCTATAGCTTGAAGACAAGGCTGCTAGTTTTGCGAAGTTCAATATCAAATTCGGCTTTCAATGTGTTGAATGTAGTAACTGGTAACACTTCACTTTGCAGAGAAGGCTGATGAGATGATATTTACCAACAATGACTCGGAAATCCTTGTTAACCGAGACTTAGATAAATAACTAGTTGGTCTTGAAGTTCAATATCAAATTCTGGTTCTATAGCTTGAATACAAGGCTGCTAGTTTTGCGAAGTTCAATATCAAATTCGGCTTTCAATGTGTTGAATGTAGTAACCTGGTAACATCTCACTTTACCGAGAAGGCTGATGAGATGATCTCTACCAACAATGACTCGGAAATCCTTGTTAATCGAGACTTAGATAAATAACCAGTTGATCTTGAAGTAGTGCTGTTTATCCAAACTGAAGGTGTTCTTCGATCGGCTGATTCTATGGCTCCAGTGCTGTCTATCCAAATTGAAGGTGCTCATTGGTTGCCTTCACAGTGCTGTTTATCCAAACTAAAGATGTGTTGGCTAGAAGAAAAGGAGAGACAAAAAAAATCTAAGGGTTGCTGAAAAGCTTTGGGTAGGGCAATTTGTGTGCTGATTTGAAGGGCCCTTTCCGTTGCCACTGGCTCTGTATTTATAGGAACACAAAAGTTCGATGACCACATAACAAACTGTTGCCGGGCGTTGGAAGATGAGTGTAGCCAAATCAAGGACGTCCTACAGATGTATGAAGATGTATCTGGGCATCGGGTTAACCTGCAAAAGAGTGAAATTTGCTTCAGCAGAAATGTTAAACGGCCGATGCAATTGAGGCTGGCAGGTCTGCTAGGAGTCAAGAAGGTAGACCGACATGACTGATACCTGGGTATGCCAACTCTTGTTGGTCGAAACAAGACATAGTGCTACAACTATATAAAGGACCGAATGTGGAAAAGGCTCCAAGGCTGGAAGGGCAAACTGCTTAGTGCGGCATGGAAGGAAGTACTAGTCAAAGCCATCGCACAAGTAATTCCAAATTACACAATGAGTTGTTTTCTCCTCCCCAAACACTTCTGTGATGATTTAAACAAATTAATTGCATCCTTTTGCTGGAATGGTGATGAAGGTGAAAGGAAAATGCACTGGTGTTCGTGGGAAAGACTTTGCAGCCCAAAATGTGGGGGTGGTCTTGGGTTTCGAAATATCTTTGCGTTTAATTTGGGGATGTTAGCTAAACAAGGCTGGAAGCTACTTACTGAGCCCAACTTCCTGATTTCGAGGGTTCTAAAGGCTAAGTACTTTCCAAATGGCTCTTTTATGGAGGTACTTGTACAACCAAATGCATCTTATACATGGAAGAGCATATGTGCAGCCAAGGTCTAAAATATCGATAATATTGGAAATATCGGTAGTCCAAAAATACGGAAATTTCGATGGAAATATCGGGATATTATCGATATCGATAAAAATTGAATAAAAACCACGGAAATTGTAAGAAAAACTTGGAAATTTTTATTGAAAGATATTTATTTAGTCAACTATCTATTAGTTTATCACAAAAAATTGGAAGGAAATGCATTGCATGATGGATTTAATTGATTTAAGTTGATTATATAGCGAGCTGGCAAACATTATGAGTGTAGAAAATATGTAGTAATTAATGAAAGAAGTTTAAACACACCATAATTATTTATATATAATGAATTAGTACAATATTTTACACTTTATACATTGCATGGTAAGATACATGAGTGACTTAGTACCACATAGAGTTCCTATCAAGGTCTAAAATATCGATGATATCGGAAATATCGGTAGTCCAAAAACACGAAAATTTTGATGGAAATATCGGGATAATATCGATATTTTAGACCTTGTGTGCAGCAAGGAAGGTCATTGCCCTTGGCTCTTGTTGGCAGGTGGGAGGGGGAATATCTATCCGCATTTAGGAGGAACTGTGAATCCCTACCCCTTCAACATTTTGACCATTCTCTCATATGCTGGATGGGTGCACGTTGACGATGGTCGATTAACTAGTGGACCAAAATACAAGATGATGGAATTGCGGGCTACTCCAAACCCTGTTCTCACTCGAAGAGGTTAAGGCCATTTGCTATATCCAACTAAGTGAACGATCCCCGCCGGACTATCTGATTTGGCATTACGAGCACCAAGGAAGGTTTATAGTGAAAAGTGCATATCACATCGCCCGTTCTTGGATACAACCTACCAACAACGGGGTCATCTTCTACCATTTCTTCCAATATGTTGTGGTCCAAACTGTGGAATGCCAATGTCCTGCCCAAAGTGAAAATTTATGTATCGCGTCTCCTAAATGAACATTGTCCCACAAGAGCTAACCTGGCAAGACGTCATATCACAACTGAAGTGGAGTGTTTACTGTGTAACCACTATGGTGAGACTACTATCCATATAATGAGGGAATGCCCATATGCCAAATGTGCTTGGATGGCATTGGGTTTGGAAGCATGTTTGCGTGATGCCCATCACCCGTCAGTTCTTGAGTGGGGAATCGAGACTGCTCGACTTCTTCATAAGTCCAGTTTTGAGTTGTTCCTCATGATCTGTTGGGCTCTCTAGGGGGCTAGAAATGAAAAGTTGTGGCAGGAAAAGTTGGAACCCTCTGACGTGTGCGCAGACCGTGCTCAACAACAATGGTCTGCTTTTGTCAAAGCCAATGTGGTAACACCCGTTTTGAATTCCAGGACATCTAGACACATCAAATGGATGGCCCCACCACCAGGATGACTTAAAGTAAATATTGATGGGTCCTGGAGTGATACCAAATTGGTGGGAGGTTTTGGGGCTGTTGTTCGAACTGATTCCGGGGATTTTGTGGCTACAATTTGTGGAAGTTTTGAGGGGGTCTACTCTGCCTTACAAGCAGAATCACTTGCTTTTCGGGAGAGCTTGCATTGGGCAGTGAACAAGGGTTTTTCAAATTTGTTTTTTGAGAGTGATTCACTTCAGATTGTGGAGGCAGTAAAAAATCCTATCTTAAACTTGTCATCAATTGGACAAGTTGTGGTAGATATCAAGGCCCTACTCCAATCAATCACTGAAGCAACTGTTATCCACACCCGCCGCAATGCAAACTCAGCTGCTCATCGCCTTGCTCGGATTGGCCTCTCGTTAAACCAAAGTTGTGAATGACACGGTTCTCCTCCAAGTTTTCTGATTGACACACTTGTAGAAGAAGGTGCTATGCACTAATGCAAAATGTTGTATGCTGTTACCCCTTTGTTGAAATGAAATCTACTATCGTCTCTTACAAAAAAAAAAAAAAAAAAAAAAAAAACTGTTGCCGTAAATCCACTTTCACTACAATATTCCTGATAAAATATTGTATTTGAAAGCGACCATATCCACATCTTTTAATTAATTCCCACCAAAAAGAGTCTGATTAACTTAGCAGCCCTCTGATGACATGGTTATCATCCCAATTGCAGTCACGCGCGTACCAAGTTGGACTTTCCATCTTTATCCCATGCAATCTGGAGAGCAATCAAGATTCAGTTAAATAATACACATAAAAATGTATATTAACACTCATTGCAGCTCTTGGACTCCTCGCTAACCCACCATGCAACAGATAATTCTTCAATATCGTCATGGTAATTCAACCAAGATAACATTAATCTTCAATATCAAATCCAACGGGCTCAGAATTCTACTCATTCTATGATCTCGATTGCTTGAGCCGATAGTGTAAAATTGGGTCCAAACAAGATGTCAATAATCACACTTCTGGTGACGGGGGTCAATCAACCACCGAAGTCTATGGAAGTTCTATCAGAAATGAAAGGGATTTGTTTCCGAACAGCATAACATACTAAATACTTCTACTGGAAACTGAATTCTTATTCCAACCAAACAACTGCGGCCTAGTAGTATCTCTGATATGTTTTTATTACCATTCTGTGAGACTATTTCTTGTTGTGATCGCTAAATTCTTTTTTTCTTGTTGTGCTTTGTGCTACATATGTACTAAATTGTTTGGCAGTATGGTGAACACTTGTATTATTAGTTGAATTGTTTCATGGAATTTTCATACAATTTTGGGGTAAAAGATCCGAAAATAAAGCGACTAATCACCGGGATTTGAAAAGAGATAAACATTCCAGCACTGTGTAGCCTTGAATGCAATTAGAGATGTTTCATTTGAACTGAAAGGAACTTTCAGCGAGCAGTCAATCTTGTAATATGGCTTGTAATTGGGTGACTTGAACTTTCCATACCTGGCTCTTACCCGAAGAGCAAGCTTCAAATCAATACTGTAAAGCCCGGCAGCAGCCTCTGAGTTCAACTGGGAAAGGTCACGTTCCCCAAACACCACCAACTGTTGCCCTTCAACTAGTACATGATTTAAAATGGTTGTGTTCTTATGGCCTTGGTAAAATGGCGCCGAAGGTAATGTCACCATAGCAAACCGCTTCTTTCTATAGTTGGCTATGACCTGGATGCGGCGGTAGTATATGCCAACCCTTCTGTTAGGGTTTCGTATGGTTATATTGAGAGCGAGGTTGTAGTGGAGGGTGTTGTTATCGTTGGTGAAATTGAATCGGGTAAGAGAGGCATCGGTGATGGTGAATTTCGGCTCTTGGGGATTGAAGATGAAGACGAATATGAGGAGGGCAAGGACGGAGCAGAAGATGGTGTTGTAGAATATGCAGAAGCAACATACAACGTTACAGCAGCGTCCACCACTCCTTCCAAACATAGCTGAGGACAAGATAGAAAAGCAAGAAATTTGGGTTATCAGATTACGAGCGGATTATGAAATATGTAGATGAAGATGATCAAGAAAATCGGTGCGGCCAGAAGCTCAAGTGAAGGTCAAACTTGCCAAGTTATTGAAGGAGTGGTACTAGGTAATTGGGTACTAGCTTCCGATCCGCTGACTTTGGCAAAGGCTCTCCTGAAGGCCTAGCTAATAATTATAATCTTTGGAACGAGTAATGTCAACTCTGAAGTAATATTATTCCTTGCATCACACGGTTTTGCATTTATTATATTTTTTTGTTTGTTTGATGTCTTTCTTTGAAAACTTCCTTAATAATATTGTTTTCCGCATAACATGTAAGGGGCTTGTAATTCTGAGAGAAGACCTAGGAAACATGCTTTGTAATTCTGAGAGAAGACCTAGGAAACATGCTCAATTTCATTTGATCATATAGTTGACCCACCCCGCCTCATATTGTGCTGGAATGGTACGTATCTCCTCCGATCCATGCCGTTGGACAGCAAGTGCATGTATTTCCCTATCAAAGCCCTTGAACTAACCTTTTAGGCATGAAGAGCATTCTGAGGGTGTGGATATAGCCATATATCATTATATTGATTTGTTGAAAGTAGCTTCTTCGTCTACTGACTACCGTTATTTGCTACAATCATGCTTACCGATATGATAATTTAGCAAATTTAAATATTTGATGGTTAGAGCGAAAAATGATCTTAATAGCGAACGATATGAAGTTGATGAAAATAGAAAAGAAAAAGAATCAGGATTGGCATAATGTATTTTCAGCACAAATAAATTTTATTGAGATAATTTCAATGGCATCGAACAAAAACGTTCAACACATAAAGTTAAGTATCTTGTAGTGTGAATTTTGGGTACATAATTTCAGAACAAAGTTACACCTATAGCTAGCCTCATCATCAGGATTTGAAAAGAAATAAACATCTCCGCACTTCGTAGCCTTGAAATTACTCGCAGATGTTTCATTAAAACTCAACGGAACCTTCATCCTGCAGTCGACCTTGCGATTAGGCTTGTAATTTCTTGTCTCGAAGAGCGAGCTTCACGTGAATGCTGTAAACCCCGGCAGCAGTCTCGGAGTTAACATGGAAATTTCGCGTTTACCAAAACCAACCGAACCAACTGCTGCCCTTCAACAAGTACATGATGCAAAATAGTGGTGTTTTTGGGACCTTGGTAAAATGGCGTCGAAGCCAAAGTCACCAGAGCAAACCTCTTCTTTCTGTAGTTGGTGGTGACTTGGATGCGGCGGTAGTATATTCCAACCCCATTGTTCGAATTTCTGATGGTGATGTCGACAAAAGGTTGTAAGAAAGAGTATTGTTGTTGGTGTTATTGAAATTGAATTGGGTTAGAGAGGCATTGGTGATGGTGAATTTTGGTTCTTGGGGAAGGAAGATTAAAGAATACTAAGGTGGTGTATTCAATTAGGATTTTGAGAGATTTTAATTTTTTTAATGAATCTAGGGTATTCAATCAAGGTTTTAAGTGATTATCTAAAATTCAATGTGTATTCAATCAGGATTTTAAGATAGTTTATTAAAATCTTTAGAAACCCGGGTGTATTCAATTATAATTTTAAAGAAATTAATAACATTCCAGGTGTATTCAATTATAATTTGAATTTAAAGAATTTGGAAAAGTTGAGGAATTAGAGGGAATTAGAGAGATTTTGTAGTGTATTTTAAGCATTTACAAATCTCACATCTCTTATGAGATTTTGAGGGAATTGAATCAAAATTTTACATGGAATCTCTACAAATTTATTAAACTCCATCAAAATCCATTAAAATCTCTCAAATTTCCAATCGAATACACCTCCTTAAAGCGGCAAGACCAACGCAAAACGCTATGCTGACGAGAACGCATCCGATGCAGAAGTTGTGAAACAAACAGTTTCTTGTTCGAAACATGGCTGAGAGAAAGCAAGAATGACGGTGGTGATCAGACTGGTCGAGTTGTTTATAAGAAGAGTTGAAGTTAATAACCGTAAGTTATAAACAAATGGAGTGTGCCCAGAAGCTCAAAGTCAAGAGTCGAAGGATTGCTTAGGGAGAGGTTGTAAGATTATTGAAGGAATTAAAAGTTGCTTTTTTTAGCTTCCAAGTCGCTGACTTTTGAATTTAGAATTCATAAAGTTGAAATATTCTCCCCGTCAGATTTTAGAAATACAGGCTAGCGGCTACTAACCACATGATTCACACCGATACTCTCATAGGTAAGGAATACAATATATTTCAGACGTGATTGTACTGGTTCAAAATTTCATAAGCCAGACTTTTAGGGTAACTACTGTTTACCAAATTATTAGCCTTGACTATGCCATAGTCAGCGGGCAGGAAGCTAGCTCCCTAATTACCAAGAAGTGCTGTGCCCTTCAATTATTCGGGATTGTTCTTTAATTTCTCATATTAATAAGGGAAGAAGTTTTCACCCTACATTCCTTCTTTTTTTGTTGCTGAACAAATCCCTACATTCCTTCTAGCTACGAACAACTATTCTTGTTTAAATTTATAATTCGGGATTTGCCATAATCATTGTTTTTTAAGAAAACCAATGAATTTTTTTTTAAACTTTGCATTTTAACAAAAAAAATTATTTAATAATTTTATTTAATAATAAAGACAATAGAATGAAAAAATAATAACAACTTATCGAATGCATGTTTTCACGCTTTGGGAGAGTGGAGCAGCTAGTGGACTATGCCCAATGTTTTCATTGGTGGAAACCACACCGGTGGATGCGACAAAATAATGATATTGCCATTTCTTACTTTTTTTTAAGGTAAATTATACTTTACCACCTCAGGTTTGTGGTCGATTTCAATTTCTTATAACATCTTTAAAACATTTCAATTTCATACCTCAAGTACTATTTTATTTCAATATAATACATCCGTTACATTTTCCATCTATTGATCCGTTAAGAACTGACGTAGTTGCCAAATTTGTGCCGCGTGTCAAAAAAATAATTTTTTATTCATTTACAATATTATAATAATTTACCCTATTTATACACCCCCCCCAAAAAAAAAACCCCATCCCACCCCACTCCCACCTCCCCCGTAACACCCCCCAAACCCCCCACCGCACCGCAAAACCCACCCATCTCCTACCTTACCACCCCCATCCCCACCCCCATTCTCCCTCCCCAACCTTCATCTCCATGCAAAGTCTGAAAATAAACACAAACACAAATCCCTAACGCACTTTACATTATATACCAGCATAGGAAACAATACCACAACATCCAAAACATACTTGCACGAGTTCGGATTTTGGTTTAGGCTTGGCCTTGGAGGACTGGGGCACAAACCAGTTGGGCCAGGAAGGGGCGTGGCCGGTTGCATCGAGATCTTCGAGGTTCATCGTCGGATACTCTATGGTTTCTGTTTGTTCCGGTGAGCGGTGGTGGAGAGCGGAGCAGTGAGAGTGGGGGTTTTCGTGCGCGGAATCGATGGCGGTTGGGATTTAGGGATGGTGTATGATGTCCTTCTGGGGAGGGAGGAGGAACTCGATGGAGTCGAAGGAGGAGATCTTTCCGGTGAGGTAGTCGAGGAGGGGCTTGCAGTCGAGGAAAGTGACGGAGAGGGAGAAGTTAAGGTTTTGGTGGTGAAGGGAAGGGATGAAGGTCGGGGAGGTGAATAGGGAGGAAAGGGAGAATGTGAGGGGTTGCGGGGGGAAGATGGGTTTTGGGTTGGTTTGTTTTTTTGTTTTTTTAATTTTAATTAATTATTTTTAAATGAATAAATTTTTTTTTTGCCACATGGCACAAATTTGACAGCCACGTTAGCTCTTAATGGATCAATGGATGGAAAATGTAACGGATGTATTATATTGAAATAAAATAGTACTTGAGGTATGAAATTGAAATGTTTTAAAGATGTTGTAAGAAATTGAAATCGACCCCAAACCTGAGGTGGTAAAGTGTAATTTACCCTTTTTTTTTTTTAATCTTCACTTGTATTTTTCTTGATTTTTTGGATCATCAGAACCATTTTTTGAAGGAGTTTTAACGAAATACTTCCAGTACTGTTCACTTTTATTGAAAAACCACATTTTTACCTTTCCCTGATACTATTAACTACACCTTTATTTGTCATTTTTCATTAAAACTAAAGTTTTTTTTTTGGAACTTTTTGTTAGTTTTCCTTTTTTTTAATCACCACATCCATTTCTCTTGTTTGTTTTTTTTAATCTCCACTCATCTTATTTCCTAAGTTCATTTATCTTCCTCCTTGTGCAATCATCACTCTGTCATTTTTGCTTTGCCCTCATCTTTATCGGAGGTGGATTGTTTGCCCTCCCATTTCCATACTCTTCCCATCCCCTTCTGTTTTGTGTGGTCACAGTTAAGCCACGTCAACATTTTATATTCCTATTACTTTTTGTTTTATTATTTTTATAAAAAATTAATATAAAATGTTGACGTACCGTGACCACACAAACAGGAGGGGATGAGAAGAGTATGGAAATGGGAGGGCAGACAATCCACCTCCATCTTTGTCACACCCAACTCTCCATCTCTCTCAACTTTCACAATCTTTCCTTTCTCTATAAAGCCCAAAGGCCGAGAGGCTTGAGTTTACATCACAACTTGCCACTCCTGGACCTCCCTTTTTCTCTTCTCTGTAAACACCAAGGCACACCTACACCTCCATTTTCCAAGAAATACTACCACATAATCACCATCCCAACATTCAATTTTTAGAAATAGTATAGTACTCGTGTTCATTTTAGAAATAATGTAGTACTCGTGTTTAGTTTAAAAAATAATTAGTTTTCAATTTTTAGAAATAGTGTAGTACCCGTGTTCAATTTCAAAAATAGTGTAGTACTCATGTTTAGTTTTAAAAATAATGAGAATTGTTATTAGCACTCAAAAAATCTCATTCTACACTCCTCACAAGTGTATTTTTCTTTCTAATTATAGAAAGTTTGGAGTGCCAAATGAGGTTT